TTTTTTGCACCTGTTTATTCGTTATACTCAGGTGGCATGATATAACATTCCTATTATTTGATAAGCTTTAGATTATTCGGTTATTAAATGTTTGAAATTATTTGTCTTTGCGGAAAACACTATTTAAAGAATATGGGGCCCTTAAGGTTATATGGTTTAATTGTTTAGAATATCGTTTTTTTTTGAGGTTATGAAATATCCTGAGGTGATGGGGTCAAATGGACCTCGGATTCGGATTCAGCAACCCAAAAAACGTATAATAAACATGTCTGACCTCTGAGCCCGAAAGTCGATTTTTGTGTGGCTGTGTTATCTTTAATAGTTGCAGACGGCGATCATCGTCCGTCAAAATTGAAAATTACATACACATGTGTTATCAACCACCAAAGTTTATATTAAATTCAAACACATTCAAAGTTTAAAATGTTTCATTTTGTTTATATGCAGTGCTCAAGTTGTTTTACCACAAGACCCGATGTCCAATTTTAAGTTATTCCTGAAGACCTATAACCCTAACAGAACCACTCGACTGAGTTGATTAAATGAATTGTGAATAGAAATAACTAAATTCGACTTTTTGACTGAAGCAAAAGGAAAATTTATTCTTCGCATAACTACTTAGATATGAACAAACATTTCTACTATCAGAAGTGTGGTAAAAAGGTCAATACCAAATTTGCTGCAAAGGCTACCAACAGAAAACTATAATATAAAATTTAAATGTACCTACAAAAAATATATATTTTTTGTTTCTCTGTGGGTACTTACGCTCTTGATGTGCTCAGCTAAATCAGGTGGCATTCCTTCGACAGCTGAGGTATAAAATTGTGGTTCCCATCCATAAATCTGTAACAAAAATCACATAATAAATATGCAATGTGGGATCCACTATACAGTAAATGGAATTAATGATTCTTATTATCTAATATTCTAAAAAGGACAATTGGTTCAACTACTCCAAAAATTAGAGATTGAATACATCGTGTAAAAAAGTTATTAGAATATGACGGGTAAAATGAAGTGAAGCATCAAAATATTGTCGATTAAATAAAAAAACTGTTAAATAGAAAATATACAGGGTGTTGCATGACGTACTAGACAAACTTAAGGAACAAGCATCCGAGGTCATTCTGAATAAAAAATGTTATAATATATATATGGGTTCAATTCTCCGTGGTTACCGAGTAAAGCTTAGAAATACTATTTTAATATTCAATCTCGCTAGCTATGAACATGTTAGTTGATAAAACAAGTGATAGTTGACATGTTGACAAAGTTTACATTTATGGATTTTGTGATGGAAATTCGCGAGATGCCCGTAGAGAGTATCGGCATTTGGTTCTGTGTTTCGACATCTGCGAACATAAATGGTTCAACAATGCCTACTAACTATGAACGTCCTCAGCAGCAACATTTGAATGAGCCTGAAAACATTTTGCAGATAATTGAAGACAGTCCAGAATTAAGTATCAAGAGAATTTCAGCACGTACGAATGTTCTTCTTTGGAGAGTATAGCAATATATTGTATCCTTATCACGTATAACAACTTCAACATCTGGAACCGCATGACTTACTTTCACGGGTACATTTTTGTCAATGGATTCAAGCACCGCCCCAATTAGTAAGACGTATTTTATTTACCGATGAGTCGCTGTTTACTGGAGAAGTGAACAATATGCACAACTCTCACAAACGGTCTTATGAGAATCCTCATTTCAAAAATGAATTTACTTTTCAACGATGATTTTCTATAAACGTCTGGTGTAGCATAATTGATGATCAACTAATTGGGTCCTCCTTTTTGAAGAGCGCCTTATAGGAGAAGTCTACACCAACTTTGTACGTAANATGTAATATCATAATAACAGTCGGTAACTTTTTTAATATACTACCATAGTTATTTATTTCCAGAATAAGAAATCATATCGATCAAAATAGAAGCACTTAGTTATTTAATAGTCGTTCAAAAAATACTTCAAGCAGATAGCACCCTTTCGTTTAACAACTATTTTAGAAATAGTCTAGACAGACTATTCAAGATTCGCATGTCCGCCACTGAGTCTGATGTATTTTGCCGGTACATACCGCTTAGAACTGCCTCTTAATGACACCCCAGTCTTCGAAAATACACAAAGCTTAGGAAGGCTGCCCGCCATGTTATCGATTACCACACCCTGTAACGTCATACCTACCCGTCAAAATAAATTGCGCAAATATTTTTAGAAAATACCTTCACCTCACATAACTCGAGAAAATTTCCAGACGAATGGAAGCCCGGGAAAATGGAAATGGATTGTATTTGATGAAGTAATTGAACCATTTGTGTGGACATATGATTCTCTTTGCATCTTTGAATTGCAATGGAAATGTTTTAGCTTTTACATGCGTGGGTTTGAAACTTTTAATTACACTTAAAAAAATTTCGATTTTCAATGTTTACAGATCAATGATAAATTTGATTGCTTTCCATGCTCTCTTCTTTTATAGCAATTTAAAATAGTGTGTCTATTTTGTATAGATTTAAATATTCTGTCAGTTTGTACACTGCGAATTTGAAATGATCATAACCAACTTTAAGCACATGCAGTTCTTAGGTTACATTTTTTTACATTTAGTTGTAAGAACGTTTCTCGTAGTCCAGTTCTATAAAAAAATATAAGCAAGGTAAAAGATAATTATATGTTTTTATTAGCAATTTTGGCAGCCGGCCTAACATTTCATAGTTTAGTTTCTAATAGCTATAACATTACTTTTGACAAAGTAATGCTATTCTCTAAATTTTACAAAAATGTAATTCGTTATCGTGAGTTCCTATAACAAAAAATATGTCTTCTTTGTGCGACTCCAATACAGTGACAAAGATAAAAAACGATACTAAGATCTAATAGACCTAATATGTTTCCACACTGTACGCATAATGGTCCAGTAATCACGTGAATTTACCTGGAAAAATTTGCGGAAGTTTTGATATTTGGTTTTTTCGATTTTTTATTTTGCCACCTCGTATCTTTGCCACCAGCGCCGCTATTCAAAGAAAAAAGTGACCTGAAACCAATTTTTATATATACCTATCTTATTTCTGGTTGATTTTACAACAAAAATGATTCTGTATTAAATTAAACTACACAATTTTCGCTACAAAATGGGTCTCCCTCATTTTTTTCTTAAAACTAACCGTTTCACGTACGGAAATTACAAAGTTTACCAAGTACGTAATATGTAAAAGCCTACCGCTCGGACGCAACAGTTGACGACGTCGTCTCTTTTCAATCAGGGCAAGCTCAAATGTTTTAATGTGTTGCAAAAAACCCTATTCTTCACGAAGCTATAAAAGTATTTAAATAAAAAGATGCTGACAAAGAAAATGTAGCTAACTGGAGAATACTTTATTCTCAGACTTTACGGCTATAATAACAATTTATACCTCAGAACACTTATGGGCACCAATGCTTGATTAAATCAGCATACAAGAATAAATTTAACATAGCTTCATTGCCTCCTACAGAAACAGCAGCAATACAACATTCGTTTCGAATGTATCATCAGGTACAGCAATGGATTGGTAACGAAAAACCTGCAAGTCAATGGGGATGGAAGAAAGACAAAAATGGTCTTATCCCTCTGATTATACTCCAAGCCCCTGCTGCAGAAGTTCTTCTTAAACTAATTTCTTGTAAATGCAAGAAAAGATTCTATAATTTGCTCAAACTGTGTCAATAGATGTGATAACATGCCTCAAGCATTGAAAGATAGTGATGACGATGAAGACACTGATACGAACCACTGTGTAATCAAATCGATACAGAAAATAGAGAAAAAGCTACTGCGCCAGAAGAATTGATCCCACATGAGTCTGATACTTCGTTGCCTTCAACGATCAAAAACATCGATAAAACTGGTCCCTCCGAGATATCAAAGCAAAATAAGTTATTGTAATTTTCATTTATCAATTAATGTGTGGATTAGCTCTACTGGGGAAACCACAGAAAAAAAACGCGGCGCTATATACTCTGGTTGTGTGGAAATGGGTATTACTTTTCATTGCACGTTAAATGGTGACCTTTGTTAGTCCCCTATCCAAAACGGGTCGGTTTCATGAAAAAAATGGTTGGTACCTATTTTGTAGCAAATTTCCTGGTCTTTAATTTGTTACGTAACTAGTTTTGCTGTAAAAGCAACGAGTAACGAGATATCTTTAAAAATCTATTTTTTTCCAATTTACTACAATATGGCGGTGCCGTTGGCAAATATACGAGGTATCAAATGAAAAATTTGAAATGAAAAGCTCAAAATACGTAAAACTGCAGCGTAATTACTGGACTATAACGTCAAGGAAAGTTTTAAAATCGAACTTTGCAATTTTCTCGAAGTGAGTCCCGTCGAAAATAAATAAAAGTAAATATTTTATTCGAATTGCTCTTTTAGATTATTTTTTACAAAATATAGAAATATTGCTCAAAAAAGTATGACGACAGCCCTGAATATCCGCTCCTAAATTAGCTGCTTTATATATCGTCGCTAAATTCAAATCGTAAATAAGCATCGTAAGATGCTTATTAGATAATATCCTACACAGTACGTTCAATATTTGTTGAGATAGAATTCCAAGAAAAGTTACGAAGAAACACGACTTCGTAACTGCGAAATACAGTATGCATTGCAAGCTGCTACGGTGAATGCCACGCCGCCAATGTCTTTCTACCTCGGGTGTCGAATGCGGTTGATTCCGAAAAAGTGACGCAGTGGTGTTCTTGGAATTCTGTCTCAACAAATATCGTACGAATTGTACTAAACTTTAATTGGTTTGGTCACCCGTTTGGAAGATATGTTCTTATGAATTTCTTCCTATTTTTTGCAGTACACTTTTCACTTAAATTTTTTTACGCATTTTTTTAACACTCTTTATAAGTTCCTATTTCAGTTTTCTGTTTTTTTCGGAAATGCGTCCGTTTTAGAATCTCAATAAAAACAATAAAATAAAAGCTGTTAAGTTACTTACGTGTTACATCGAGTATTTCGACGGCGATAATTGGACTTAAGTAATTCCGGACGTTCTTATAAGGGTAATAGTACCCGGCGAATCCACGAGGATAATAATTGAAGCCTTTAATATTTTCTCTGTCTATGTCGTCCAGACCATTGCAGCTAACCCATATCTGTTCCCTTTCGGACTTATTTCTCTAAAAAAGGTTTTAAAATCACTGGAAACTATATTCATTTCGTATTTAAATGTTTGATTTTTGCAGGACTTTCGGTGAAAAACTCGGTAAAGAGTAGATGAGATTAAAACAATGCCAGCACTTCATATAAACTTTTGTCATAGGAGACTTGGTACTACAAAACTGATTTACAGACTTCTAAAATAATACTTGCCTTTATTTACAATTTCTAAACTATGGATTTGAATTTACCGCTTTGGTGGTGTATAACTCTTTTTTTGGCATTGTAAGTTCCGTTACCTCCTAAACACGAGGGACATCCAGTGGTGAACAATTTTCACAGACATGATGATCGCAATCTGCAACTGATTTCCTCAGACGATTTCCTATGGAATATGTACTCTTGCTTGGATTCAGTAAAATTATCGGATTAGGAGAAAATCGCCATTTTATATGGCAGTGCATACTGTCGGCATTTCCACCATATACCAATTTAACGTCAATCAGTATTAAAGGATAAAAAAATAGTAATACACTTACTAAGCCTACTAAGGTTATTCCTTTGTACTTGGAACAGCTACTCTAACAGTATCACAGTGAGAGAGAATTATGTTCAATAGTTCATCCCTTGTTTGTACGAGCGCTGAATATACCGATTTTACAAAATCCCCACAAAATGTCATCTATAGAATTAATAGAAATTGGCATCCTCTTCCAATTCACATATTAGAAAAACATTATCTAAATAGTTGTATGCATTAAAGGCAACGTCGTACATGAACGTTGTCTAAAAATGGTCAGAAATCATTTTGGTATGAATTTTAAAAGAAACGATCATCTAAAACATACAGATCAACTAAATGTTGACCCGTTATTCCTGACCACAGATTAACAATAAATCGATGTTGATTATTTGTTCGTATATTACCGTGCGGATGATCATTCCATAAATGTAGGTTATGTGAATAAAGTCGTGAATCCGGATTCATCCGTAAAAAATACTTTCCAACAAAGGTAACAAAGGTATTATATTCTCGTTGTTTATTTAAAAACTAACGAGCAAATGCAAATCGTGCTGCGAAATCTTATACTATCAAAGAATGTACTTTCTGGATATCAAAAGGGTAAAGAATCTGCTCCTGGAGAACTAGTACAAATTATTTTCTACTTTTACAAAAAATACTACAGGATTTTTCATAACCTCAAAAAAACCCTACATTCTGAACAATTAAACCATATAACCTTAAGAAAATCCCATAAACATTTAACACAATGATATCCCAACCTAATAAGCCCATGAACCCAAACCCCAATAACCCTATAACCCCTTAACCCCATAGCCAGTTGAATAAATCATAGGCAATCTGTATTATTGCAAAACATCACATAGCTGAGGACTCCTTAAAAACCCTTGTATTCAAACCCAAAATGCATCCTATATATTGATCTAGTCATTTCACATGTCCGGTCTCTTGATCTAGTCATTCCAGTAATATAATTTGTTGGGTAATACATATATTGTTATCCTTTGGATTTTCATTTCATTTAATCTAGTCAAGAGAGATTTTTAACATTAATCAATCATTTATTTATTTTAGTTTTATTGATTAATTCATAGTTCGGTCTATCCTTCAAATTAATTTTTTTTTCAAAAACTCGTAAGTATATGATGTACGAAATCCGATCGCGCAACCACCTCGTACTGTACTTGTAAAGCTAAAAGGTAAAGCTAACGGTCTTACCGATTAAAATTATAAAAAAAACTAGATCGATTGTAACACTCGGTTCTTTGGTGAATCAGATCAAAGTATAAGGTAATGAAGTTGTGGTTAGGGAATCGTGGGGTTATGAATTGTAGAGTCATGGGAGTTTTGGGGTTTGAGTGTATAGGTTTTTAAGATATCCTCAACTACATTAACGTTTAGTCATAATACAGGGTAGCCCATCGAAAATGTACCGCAAGGCATCACAGGGTAGTAATGAACTTTTCGGCAAAATCCAAAAACAGGTAAAGTTTGCTTCTGAGGGGGACAACTTTTGGTGTAAAAAGCATAGCAAAATCTTCAACCCCCTAAGTGGGGGTGCCATCCCCCAAATTTTTTGAAATGGGAATGGGGGTCAAGTGGGGGGGGTCATTAGAAAGGGCTTTTAATTCTCTATACATCGATTCTTACTTTTTGAAAATCGATCCATTATTTTAGAAAATATGCAGCTTTGAATATACGAACAATATTTTTGACGAGAAATGCGAAAATCGATTTAATTTTACTTCAAAACTTACGGTATTAGCCAAGTAAATGCTGAAAATGTTGT